TAGCATGACATTGGCAACCATAAAGTGATCAAGTTGTACTTTATTTTCTTCATGCACAACTTGCTACTTAAGCTGTTGTCAAACAGAAGTTTATTGGAAATATACATTTTGTGTATCTTCAGTAATAAAAACCATGCAGGTGAGCATGTTGTAGGATGTAAGTAGCAATTACAAATAGTGATGCAGAAAACCTGTATACTACAGAAAAGCTATTTGAATTTCTTAGTTTATACACGGAATATAGAATTTTGCTCTCTCAATTTTTGTTACAAATCTGAATTTAAAATCTGAAGTTTTAGTTACTTTTTCATTTTTAAGAACACCTTCATTTTCATTACAAAGTCCAAATTGGAACTTCTCTGAATGAATCATCACTCTTATACAAGAATGGTTTCTGAAGAGTAAAAAGCAAGATCTACTGGCACATTTTAGTATGACAAGAGATGGTTTTAAGATACAAATTGATACTGTACAAATACATATGTTATAGTATTATAAACTCTTGGCATGAACAATGAACACAATGAACTCTCTTTAAAAATACCTTGTAAATCAAGCTGCTAAATGTTGAAAGGAAAATGCGTGGCATTCATCAATGGTTGATCTCTGTGTGGGGCAGACCATTCACACACTGTTGCCTGGAACCAGGAGAGGAAACTGCTGCACAAAGGTAAAGCAGGCTGTATCACAGGGAAGAAAGGTGTATGGCAGTGGTTTTACCCCTTCACACACTTAGCTGGAGCAGGATTTCAGCTTTAACACCTGGGTCATAAACTATGCAATAGCAACAGCAGGGAGAGCAGCACGATCTACAAAGGAGGAGGGTGCATCACTTGGGCTGGTCATGAACTGGGAGGGACCTGGAGCCTGTAAGGTGTGAGCCTGTCAGATGTTATCCTATGCGATTGTCTGACTTGGATGCAAAAAGCTGAAATGAGGCGCTGCTAATGAGATAAATAAGCCTTGAATTCTAGCGTGATGCTGATGCAGATGCGAGGCGAACAACCACAAATACATGAAAACAACTTCAAAGTGGAATTGAAACAATGTAAGTAGGCAACAAGAGCATTGATATTATTGAGCCCAAAGCAATACTCAATTAGCTGCTTTACTTTTTCCTTAGGCTCTCTTTCAAAATAAATGCAGGCTTCAGTAAGAGCTCAAAATGAATCACTGATTTACTTCTCTTGAGTCCTGAGGAAAAGGGAGACTTAATTTAAAGAGAGGCATTTAGCACAGATGAAATATGATCCTTCTGTGTGGAAAACAAGCATAGTCCAATACAGTGCAGCAGCACGGGTTAGACGTTCAATAGCCCCTTGCATGTTTGTTGGGCAGGATGCGCCCACTTATGTGCTGGTTTGGCCTCTGCCCAGCTCTGCTGAGCTCAGTGGGGTTGGCCCAGGTGGAAATTGGTGCAAGTTTGGGCCCTTGCTCACTAATACTGGCCTTCAGAAGTAGCAAAAATACTCTGATTCTACAGTCATGTTGAACCAGCCCCATGTATTTTGTACAGTGAGCACAGTCTGGAAGCATGTGTATGTGTGCAGGCATAAACTGTCTTTCCTCTGATTTCTGCTTGAAGATGTAATTTAATATAAGTACAATAAGAATGGACTTCTTCCTGCTTTGTATTTACATCTGATCTGCATTTCCTGTGCTTTACACATTTGAATACTTGGTAGGCTTTTCTGTCCCAAACAAAATCGTAGGTAATGGTGTTTTGAATTCTGTAGACTGAAAACAGTAAGCTATTATCCAAAGCCCATCTGGGGAAGTGCAATTTTCTGATTTAGAAAGCAGAAAAAAGAAACAATTCTGATCGCAGCGTGGAGATAAATATGCACTTCTCAGTGTACCTTCTATAGGAGTAAAACTGCCTAATAACATCACTGTTATGATTTTTGAAGATATTCTGCATTAAGCACTCAGAACGGTGGAAGGACACATCAATTCATAAAGGAGCATGTGTCTCTGCATGTACAGGTATAGTCACATGGATGAGGAGCTGATGGTGTCAGGAAGCTCTCCCAGTGATGCTATTACAGGAGCTGTGGTTCTTTTCCAAAGCTGAGATGCTGACAGCATTTTGCATAGGTGGACGCTAGTAATTCCCCTCCACTTCTCCAGAATTTTTCTTGACAGGAGATTATGCATTATATACTCTAGAATTGTTCCGTTTTATCGAGAGTGAAAACACTGTAAATCTTGGGAATATTTCAATCAGCTGTCAGCTTTGGCAATGGGAAGCTGTCACTGACAGTGATGAGTGGCCTCTGTGAACTTGGTCTTATCCTCACTGTTTAGGATTGATCTCCACAGGTGCCTGGTGGCAAAATCCAGAGCTATATTCTCTTATTCCAAATCCTGTCTTACTCTTTTATGACCTGAAAGGCAAAATACTAAGGACCTTCCTTTGCTGGAATCAGGCCCCCACACCTCTGGATGTGATGCCACTTGCAGTCTGGCAGAGTATTGTGTAGAACAAGAAGTCTGTTTTTCTGTAATGTGAGCTCACAAATGGTAGCAGTTCAGTATGTTTCCGTAGTAGATAATTCCCATGATTGGGAACTTTCCATACTGAAATTGTTTAATTTAGAATGTCAGTGGATGTGGTTTATCAAAATTCTGTTTTATTACTCTCAGGTCACACTATGTTTGAGGGTTTTGCAGATGTAACTGATTAGTATAGTGATGTTAAAACTAAATAGTCTATGAGTGGTGATTTAACATCACTTTCTTCTGTCATACTTTATCAATCACAATACTTCCAGAATCTCTTTATCATAAGTTCAATCTACTAATAGTAGACTTCATACTTGATCATTTTGTATGTCTTATATAGTTCATACTGTGTAATTTCAAAGTATTTTTATAGCTACTTAAAAATATATTCAATCCTGTTATTAGAATTTCCTTTTTCCCAGTTTTTAACAATTTAAAATTGATGCACTTCAATGCAGTTCTGGGAAAACTGCCAAAATCTGTGGGCTTGAGTATCAAAATGCCTGTTCATAGTTGTTATGCACTTTCAAGTGTTTGTTGCAGGGATATTTTTTTTTTTCAGAAGTCTTGGTTGCACAGTCTTGGCCAGATGCTTGGAGTGATGTTACTTACTGAGTCCAGTGTCTGTATGCATAAATTGCAAGGGCCCATATTTTACAGTGACGGAGTGTGCAAAATAATGTCTGTTTTTTAAATTGGTTCAACACTTCTAAAACTGTGCTTTAGGTTTCATGTAGGATCAGAGTAGTTTTTAATAGTTTGCTGTTATGTAGGTGTTGTACTTCCCTTATAAAAGTTGGTTCCTGTTGCAGATACTGAATACGTAAAAGTATTCTTTTGAATCTGAAGGATGCTGAAAGTGTCATGGCTTAATGAGAAGAAAATGTGGTGTAAGTCAAGGCAGAGTCTAGCAGTGGTCATAAAGACAGATTAAGGACATTACTTCAGCTCACCAAAACTATTTAAATATTAATTGCTGTGGGTAAATGAGTAAGGACTGCTCTTCTCATCCCTTTCCAGATTTTTTTTTCTCTGAAGTAGAGGAAACAATCATCATATGGACTTGCAGAAGTGATAGTAATGTCAAGTTTGTGGTGTTTCTCACAAGAGATTAGGTATTTATAGATATAAATATAAGCAATGAGTAAGAAAAAAAAAGACAATGGAAGTGGAGCTATATGAGTTTCTAATTTGTTCCAATGGAACAGGAAATCTTAATTTTGGGAAGATGCTCATCTGCATCATCACTTTCTATGCTTTGCCCCATCCATTTTTAATTGTGCCTACTTTTTACTTCTGCTGCAAGTGATCAAGCTATGAGTAATCCTAAATGTAGAGCTGGCTCTTGGTACTGCATTAATCTCAGATACACTGAGATGTCAGGGCTGATCTTGGTTGGTCTCTAGCAAAATTAGATCTCTAGTACCCTTCCACATACTATAAAAAAAAAATCTTAAAAATTCAGGTCATCCGGTGCCAGTGTTATTTACTAAAGTTGGAAATTTGTGATCTTTTGTTCTGCTGATGTAGCAGTTTGCTCAGACTACAACAGGTTGCAGCCTAAGACAGTCATTTCATGAGTCCATTTTGTCAGTACTGCCCATACCAGAGGTGTTGTTTTTTCCCACTTCCATTTCCTGTTCATTATTAGTGAGCTTATACAGGTACAGCCCGTGGTCACAAGGACTTCAGCTGAATAGAGTTCAATGAGCTCTTGTAAGACATCACATAGGCAAGGATCATTTGAATATTGGCTCTGGCACAAAGTGCCTCTTCAGGCACAGTTGAGACATTTAATCTCTCTGTCTTGCAATCACCATCGGCAGAATGAAGTAATACTTGCCTACCTGTCTCACAGGAACATGAGTTATTGATTCATGGTTGTGAAGTGATACAGGAATACGATGAATGCACATTGGAGCTATCATATCTCTGGACGTATGGGGAATTGTTTGAAAAATCTGAAAATATTAACAGCTGTGTATAGTGTTGTACCATACTGAACTCCTCTAGCTCAGAGGAGGGATATCACACGTCAAGACAGAGCTGGAGTCTTTCAGTGCCCTCCAGTGACTTTGAGAAATTTGAGCTATTCCAAAGGCAATATATTGCTTTTCAGGAGCATTTTTGCAATCTCTATTACAAAGCCTTGCATGTTTTTGTGTACTCTCCAGCCTTTAACCCAGGCTGCCTTGGAGATTCCTCGGGTTGTTTGCAGCTGGCCAAACTTGGAGCACAACAGCAGCTGCTGTGAATTTGCTTAAGTCACTATATTCACTGGTAGCCTTAAAATCAAGAAAGTCAGCCCTTCCATCAAATGACATACATTCTGTGGTTGACTTTTAACAAGGTTTCAAGGATGCTGCTGGCCTGTCTAGAGTTAGATAAATTAGGCCTCTGTTGGGATAGGTTCACTAAAACTACAGGATTATTATTGCATGATTGCATAATTATTGCATAGCATATTTTTGACGTAGTTATTTTCCTTCTTTTAGAAGATAAAGGAAAAGTGAAATCCAATGGTGCAAGTCAGCATTCCAGTACAGAAGTGGGTGCTTTTCTTTCCAAAACTGGAGTGGCAGCAGTGGCACCTGTAACACCTGCAGCATCCTCCAACAGCACTAATGGGGCTCCCAGCACAGCCTCTGAGTCAGAAGAGGAAAAAGCCAAAAAACTACTTTACTGTTCATTGTGCAAAGTAGCTGTGAATTCCCTGTCACAACTAGAAGCACACAATACAGGTGAGTGTGTACAGAGTGTGAGTTGTGTGCTGTTTTTGAAAAGGTCAACATAAAAAGCTATTTTTCTGGCACTGTGGTAGCCTCAGTTTACTGGAATCTTTAGTTAAAACTTACAGTGCCAAGTTACAAAAACTTTTCTGGTAATGGTAATTTGATGTATTTGATATTTCATTAAAGCTCTCTATACATTTTTAGAGCACTTCTTCATGTACTCTATAAGCTTTTTAAATCCTTACAGTTCATGTTACCTAGTCATATTCCATCATATTCCGTCATATTCCTCTGTAGCACGAGGGTTTCTAAAATGTGAGCGACATATCTCTTTCATATTTCAGCTTCCTATGCTGTCTTTTCCTGGCACTATATTCAGTAACTTTTGTTATTTGATATTTTCCCTATTTTTAGGATGGATTCCTTAGATTTCATAGGTATCCTGGAATCTTTGGATTGTTAAGTATTAACTATGCTGTCTTCATTCCTTGGATAAATCTTTTTAAAGGCCACCAGCAACAACTCTTAATGTACTCTGGCTGCTCTGTGATGTGCTGGTGATGTAAAGCTTGTTATCAAACCATTTAAACCAATTTTACAGCTGTAATCCCTTCTTGAAATGGCCAATGCAGCCACTTCTTCCAAATCCAAGGATACTTATTGCGATCTCCAGCACCTCCTCTGCTGAAAAGCTGTGGAAATAACTGTGTGCCTAGACACTCTCATTTTACGCTTTTCTGGATGACCTTACAGTCACTGTTCTATTTTAATTATTAAAATTATTTTAAGTATATGCTGCTCTTAAATACAGCAGAAGTCAGTATAGATTTATTTTCTTTAAGACGCCTCTACTAGAGAAATTGTCATGATGGCCTAAAAGATGAATCCAGAAAGCTCATGTCTCTGTTTGGTATAGAATTCCTCTACATTGCAAATCTCTGGCTGATCCAGACCTCCAGAATCACATAGATTCAGAGGAATTCTTTCAAGATCAGCTTTTTCTTGTTGACCATTTGTCAATTCCCACAGTTCAAGCCAAGGATTGAATTTTAGCTCCCAGTCAAGAGAAAATTAGTCAACAAAGACAAGGCTTTGTACAGTGTCTTTTCTTGAATGCATAAGCAGTAATGTGGCTGCTGGCTTAGTCATGGATTCTTGTTTCAAGGCAGTTTTTGAGTGATCACTCCTGGATCATGCCCTTTTCCTGCTGTGCTCCATTAGCTCCTGGGTTCTGTTAGAATAAGCACAAACACGTGGGCTGCGTGGCTGCACACTGACCTCAAACAGAGGCTCAGTGGTGCAGCTCCCTTTCTGTATAAACCGTTCTTTTGTTGCTGGGTTTCCGTTTGGATTGATGAAGTGGGAGCTATGCTGACCAAGAGTAACACCATTATTATACTAATCTGTGGTGGTTTTGAGTATTCTGTCTTGAAGATAAATGTGGGGCAAGAAGTGCCATGGCTAATAGACACTGTTATGTGATGCTGATCTAACTTACCTATATCTGCTTGCCCACTAGGCTCAAAACACAAGACGATGGTCGAGGCTCGGAATGGCGCTGGTCCCATCAAGTCTTACCCTAGACCTGGCTCACGGCTGAAGGTGCAGAATGGCAGTAAAGGCTCAGGACTGCAGAACAAGACATTTCATTGTGAAATCTGCGATGTCCACGTTAACTCAGAAATTCAGCTTAAACAGGTAGCTTGCATGTGCCCGAGTCTTCTTCATAAATTTTAGTTCCATTGCAATATTATAGGTGGGATATAGGTCTGTGTTTTCCCATAAAATGAACTTGCTTTTCATGAGCCCACAGCTATTTCTTAAAGTCCCTCACGTAACTGTTTCAGCTGGAGAAAAAATGAGTTTGTGAGTCATAAAGCAGAAAGCAGATGTGGAAAAATTGTTGGTAGCTCTGGATAGCATAGTAGATCTAGTTTAAAAGTTTGCTGAAGCTCAATAGAGGATGTTAACTTTGCTCTCCCAATAGGAAGAAATTCGGGGCTGGGGTTCCTGAATTCTTATTATGGTACTGCTTTAATCAGTTGGGAATTTATTTATTCATTTATTTTTACATCTTTGAGTCCAAGAAAGAGAATGGGACGTGAATCTGTTGGCTTAGGACAGTCAGTAAGACAGTAATACCATAGATAAGCCTGAACTGTGTGGTGATGTTATCATTAGCACTGGAATATCAGAACAACTGCATGAATACACAGCTCTGTTCCAACCAAGCCAATTAGCCCTGGGTTCAGAGCAATGCAATACAAATTTGTTGTTTCTGATAGCCAGACTGAAATTTCCAATTGGATGCTGCTTTGCAGTGTAGACATGTCCTTTCATCCGTGGTTATTTCAGTTATCTCTAAGGCAGTATTAAATTGCGTGGTGTAGAACTATCCCTAGGAACCAGTTCTTCCTTCAGTTAATATTGAATTATTTATGCAAACGGACAGCATCAAAGACAATGAAGTTCACCTGATTCTGAATATCCCTATGACCGAGTGATTACAGCTCTGCCTGATTCAAAGCTTATCAAGTAGAAAAAGGAAGTACTAACCAAAATATCAATAATTTGCAGAGCCTGTCTTAGATCACAGAATTTGCTGTATTTGATTAGTTTCTGATGCTCTGTTTGATGTGCTCCAAACTGTTTTGTTTAATTTAGCAAAACTCATATTCGCTCTCTCTAAAGAACCTACTTTATCTTACAAACAGGGGGCTAGATGTACCCTGCTGATAAATCAGTTTCAAACTCAAAACTGAGAAATGTTTAAACAGCTAATTAAATGTGGGGATGTTCATTTCAGCACATTTCCAGCCGAAGGCATAAGGACAGAGTTGCAGGAAAGCCTATGAAACCTAAATACAGTCCTTACAACAAACTGCAGCGCAGCCCAAGTATTTTAGCAGTAAGTATTTTTATTTCTCATCACTATGTGAATTTGTGACCTTGGGGACTCCCACCACACAGAGACGGGAACATGACAGACCTGACAGTAGCGCAGACTTTCTGCCCTTGCAGGAAGATTCTGTGCTGGGATCAGATTTGAAGATACTTATGTATGCTGTCTGCCCTGTCTGAGGCACACAGACAACACTGGGAGTATTATTTACTGCTAGGAAGGAGGGAATAATCAGTGGAATGCAGAATGAACTGTGTGCCCCATGGAAAGGTATCAGCTCTGCAGTGTTGGTGTACTTCTTGAAGTCTGAAACACATATACTCTGTCATTCTCAGCACCAGAGATAACCCTTAGTTATGATGGATGCAGTCAGTGAAAAGGACATATGATGTTAAGCTATAAAAATACTAATGCTTATTCTCTCCATGCTGCAAAACAGAGTGCTCTGCGGATGTATTATGGTGCTGAAAGTGAGTTATCAGTTGTTTAGGAGAATTGATTGCCTATCTGTATCTGTGTGCTTGAGCAGTGACTTTCACTGGCTATCAAAACAGATCTCCCACCTCTATGCCCCCAGCTGTCCCCATCTTGCACCCACCTGCATTTCCAAGGATTCCCCAGGCTGGTTCTGCCAGTCTGATGCATCCCAAGTTCAGTCTGGCTGTGGCACAGAGCACAGACTGTGTGTTTATTTGCTCATGACTCAGCCTGTATTTTATTCATTGGGGAAAAGTGCATGCCATCTATGATGCAAAAACAATTTATAGGCTGGAAAGGGAGACATGCAAATGTGAGTGTGCATGAGGAAAAACATATGAAAAGTCTTTAAAAGCTGAGCTGTGAGTGGGTTTTTGTAATTGTACAGAGGCAAGTGAAAATGCTGAAAGCTAAGCTTTTTCCAAGTCTCCCCATTCAGCAATATTTCCCACTATTGTGGGTCATAAGAAATTTTTTATGGTATCGATCTTTAATATGTATGGATGTAGATAAGAACAGCTCTGCATCAGCAGACAAAAAAAGCTGAATTAGTATTAGTTTCCCACCTTGGCCACCGTACTTTTCTACAATTCATTTTTGCAAGTGAAAAGCTTGACTTTTTAAATTGAAGTCTTAAGTCTGGTTTTTTAAACATCTCTCACACAGAAATGACCTATACAATTTATTGTTGCTCACTTGAAATTATGCTTCCTTCTGAACACCAGCCTGACTGCTCTACAGTAGAGATTTGTGCACCATGAGTACGTGGTAGTTGCCTTGGTTGGCTTGGCAGTGAGGGGCTGTGAGGTTGATGCTCCTGAACAGCCGACACCAGGCTCTGTGTGCTGGGGTTCATTCTTCCCCTGTGAAAATGGACGTGTGGAGAACTGTACTGACCCTGCCTTTTGTTTGCTTTACTCTAGGCAAAGCTTGCATTCCAGAAAGACATGATCAAGCCACTGGCCCCTGCATTTCTCTCCTCACCACTGGCTGCTGCAGTGTCATCGGCACTGTCACTCCCAGCCCGCCCTGCGGCCTCCCTCTTCCAGGCACCTGCCATCCCCCCAGCCCTCCTCAGGCCTGGCCACGGGCCCATTCGTGCTACACCCGCCTCCATCCTTTTTGCACCATACTGAGTCTGGTGTTAAAGGGAGATAGCTATGGCCAGTAGGAAGGGTGAAAGAATAGCGAGCAAAGGGTCTTTTGAAACGCCACCCTGCGTGACGTCTCAACCATCTTCACCATAAAGCGCATCGCTGACGGGTACTGCGTTTTGAAATCTAGACAACTCTCTTTCTTGGTCTCTCTCTCCCTCTTAATCCAAATAGAGAGTGATTTACTAAAAACTTAATTGCTCATAAAATTGTATCATTACAGATAAATGCATCTATTATTATTTTTTGCAATGTGTATGACGCACCTTGGAAACAAGGAACATAACATATTTTCCTGACAGACTTGAAAACTAGGGTCTTCCTCGCTCACACCTACGTACATAGCTCTCTGAAAACCGCAGGGGTGTAATCTGGTGTGGAAAAAGGTAAGTGAGCCAAGTGCTTGATTGGGGGTAACATCTCCAAATGAACTGCGTCCTTTTCTTTTCAATGTGCTCTCTTGTTGACAGGGATTGTGTACTGTCCTAGGCCCCAGTACTGGTGTATCTTGTGTAGTACTGAAGATGTACTGCGTCTGATTTTAAGATTTTTAGTTTTTGTGCAGTTGTTTGGAAGTAATGCAGCGCTGAAGCTTTTTTTAATATTTTCTTTCGTGTCAGACTTTATTTAGAGAGATTAAAACTAGAAAGCCATATAATACATAGTTAAGATTACTACTTGTTTGCTACTTTAAATTATTTTTGTTGTTTCTTTGCTGATGTTGCTAAGCAATGTTTAAAGAGGAAAAAATAAAAGCTTTTCAATTGCACATTACCACAACTCATATGCATTGTTCAAGACAACAATGGATCCGTGTAATTGTACGTAAATATCCTTTTTTTCCATTTCTAACTAGTTTCCTTCATAATGATGCTGCATAATGTTGTGGCTCCTTAATGCAATAATGTACAGAACATGAAATATTTATAATTGACTGTCTTATCTGTTTACTGAATATATTGCAGTAATAGCTCACCTCTCTTCCTACCTCCCCAGCCCTTTTATAAAAGTGATATCAATATGCAGTACTCAGATTGAAGTCATTATGTGACAATGGGGACAACAGGTGGAAGAAAGGAAATATATATATATATATATATAGAATTAACTTTTAGAGCATCTTTATCTGCAATCCATAATAGTAAAATGTCTGTGTATTTTTTTAAATGTATCTTTTCAATAAAATAATAAGAAAAATGTACATGTTTCATGTGTTTATTTGTTGATACAGAAAAAAATTCTTGGAACAGACAAATTTAGCTAAGGGAGTCTTTAGGAGCAAGTAAAGTATTAGAGTTGTAATAAAGTATAATTACCTAACCTGTATCTACTTCCCTTGTGTCTTAATTTCTTTTTGTTGCTCAATCCTGTTACAGCCTTTACTGGAGCTTTTTGTAGTGAGGTTGTAAACATTCAGTTCATCAGAGAGTCAGAAAGAAGCAGGAGAACCAACTGGGTCATTATGGTTTTTCTTATTGCCCCCCCTGCCCCCTCTTTGTATGCTGTGACGTGGTCATGCTACCTCTTGATGAGGTTAAGGATTAGCTTTAAAGCCAGCCTGGGCTTACCTGGGGCTGTGTGCAGGTTGCTTTGCAGCCAGCATTTTCTCTGAGGCATGGCAGAGCAGGCAGCTGCTTGCCACAGCAGACTGTGGAAGGCAGGTGTTTGGGAGAGCTTTGAATCTTGATCTGTCACATGAAAATCCTTTCTTTGTTAGTACAAAGTGAAAAGTAAGGAGTGCATGAGTAAAAAGACTTCGCTATTGGGCTGTTGGGATTAACACAAAGCCAACAGGGCCATTACGAGCCCACAAAGGCAGAGGAGTAAAAATGTCGGGTACTTTACAATATAGAATTTACAACAAACATATAACTCATAGTTGCAATGTACTAGAGAGCATTTCCTGCAAGTGTAATTCCGCCCAATTTCCATTATTCTGAGGAGCTGTCAGCTGTGCTGTGAGAGGGTAACAGGCTGAAGAATCACCTACAAGTGGACAGGAGAGGGAGTCTGGGCTTTTACCATCCTCTGGGAAGGCAGCTATGGTTGTGTTAATCCTGTGGATGGTGACAAGGTGGTGCAGCAACGTTCCTCTGTGTGCATCTGTGTGTCTGATTTTGTAACCCAGGTTTAGATGCAGTCAGGTTTGTCACCCAGTCCCTTCAGAGGGGCTGTTTGCATAGGAAGCTGACCTCTGTTCAACTCAACGATGGGTTTACAGGGCTATGTATTTCAGCTGGATGATAGGAAACAGCAGTTGTCTGTTATTAAAACACTTATTCTTTTTTTTTTTTTCTGCTTTTTATAACCTACTACTGATGATTAGAAATTGAAAGCTATTACAATTTTCTGCCAAAGAAATTGTTCCCATACAAAATGCAGAAAGCTTGTACTGAGAAGGGAACCAGTCAATGATATGTGGATTTGTTAGAAAACTGATTATTTCAAGGAACTTCCTACTTGGAAGAAATAACTAGGTGACTAAGAGTGGCTGTGTCTTGTCATCCAGCAACAAGCAGATGCAATGCAAGGAGCTAAAGGACTGCAGTTGTGACACAAGGAAGATTCACATATTAAAACCCTCTGCATCCTTTGTTGTGCTGACTTCTATTTGCCACCAAAGTTTTGTCTGTGATGCATAGAATTGAGCTTGTGAGATAATTCTAAGAAGATGAATGGCAAACCCTTGTGCCAACTGGGATCCTGGGTTTCAGAAATGAGCATTACATGAGAAGAAAATGTGTATCATACTTGTTCAGAGGCTATCAGCTGCTTTTTTGATCTGTTAGGATGTTTTCTCCTGAGATGCAATATCACAAACAGCTGGCCATGAAATTCATGGACTTGTTTAACAAAGAACTAGTTCTGAAATGAAGTATTTGTAATGCAGTTACCATTTTAAAGAAATACAGTGAAAGCACAAATCACAAACTGACTGTTATGGTAACATTCATTCCTGATTCCCTCATGCATCAGTTAGTGTTCATTGCCGGAAAGACCATGGTGTGGTGAGGCTGCAAGTTTTTCCTGTGAAAGAAGTCAAGTTTGGGCCATCAGAATAAGGCTTGTAGGGGACTTACAGTGTTGGCCAGAGTTCAGCCGTTGGTGCTGCCAAATAAATGTTTCCTGTAAGAAAGAGATAATTTTGTTAGAAGTTAAATTACTCTTTTTTACTCCCTCTCCAGCAAATATTTCAGTATTTTTATGCATCTGACAACAGCCTGGTGAGCCCTACTGCGTTTCTTCTGAACAGTCTCCTTGAATAAGTAAAGTACTGCACTATTTATTCATGCTTGATTGAAGAGTAATTCTTCCACAGCTGGTCATTATGATTTTTTTATACTGTGGCTACTGTATCTTTTAAACCGATTTTTGTTTGTTTGTTCATTTGTTTAACGTTATTGTTTCAAGTGGCATCCTAAGCATCCTTAAGTATGTATTGGAATGAGCAGCATTCATTGAATCATAGAATGGCTTAGGTTGGAAGGAACTTCAAAGATCATCCAGTTTCAGCCTCCTGCTGTGGCAAAGCTGCCCCCCACCAGCTCAGGCTGTGCAAGGCTCCATCCAACCTGGCATTGAACGCCTCCATGGATGGGGTATCCGCAAGTTCTCTATAATTCTAAAACATTTTCATGTTTGGAAGATAAAGTAATACTGACTTAGAAATGCTTCTGTTTGGTTTAGTATCTTATTCATCTTTATTTATATTGCTAGAGTGGTGTGCTACATACTGTGCAGACCTGTACATACAGACAATATATTGTGAACCTGCACGTGTTGCAACATGCCAAGAGCAAATTCCTATCAAGCAGGGGAGTGGAGGAGACTGTACTAAGCTGGCTGTCTTTGAAATATTGTCATTGAGAGAGGTCTCCAGAGCCTGGAAAGGGGACAGTGTTATAGCCATCCTCAAAAGAGACAAGAAAGGAGGATCCAGGCTTATGAAAACAGGTCACGGGGTCTAGCCAATGTGGATTTTCCATGCCTGAGAGCCTGATGCTACAGGTGATGAGGTGACATCTGTGTGGCCAAGGGGAGAGAGCAGAGGTGCACTGCTTTGCCGTCAATTAGGCACAGTGCACTCTTCAGCAGCCTTTGTGACAGGATGGAGAGCATCTTCAGCGTGTGTGGGCAGCCTTGAGCAGTGCCTGCTTTCCTGGCAGCCTGCTGAAGGCAAGGCTGCCATCCAGAGGGATCACTGCGAGCTGGAGAAATGGTCGGAAGCTGGCGAGGTGCTGAACTCAGGTGGAGTCCTGCAGCAGGAAAGCTTCACCCCTGCCAACTTGCAGCCTGGGGCCGCTCCCAGAGAGCGGCTGTGCAGGACAGGGCCCGGGCCACCCAATGCTGTGGTGGACAAACGGAGCACAAGTCTGCAGTGCACCCTTGTGGCAGAAGAGCCTCACTGAACGCTGCGCTGCCTCAGCAAAGCCGTGGCCAGTGGGTCGGAGGACGTGGCAACTCCCTCTGCTCGTCATTTTTGAAGTTGCACCTGGTGTCGGGTGTCCAGTCTGCGGTCTCTGATAGGAGAGAGATGTTGGGTCACCTTTAGAAGACCCCACCATCGTAAATCGTTCAAGAATGCTGAAAGATGTAAGGTCTTCTGCTGAGAGTTCAGAAGTAAGCATTGCATTCTACAGCAAGGAGAAGCTGCTGGGAAATTTGTGATACTTAATACAAATTGAGCATTTGTAATGTCATGGGGACAAGGCTATGGAATTCTGAACAAAGGCAAGCATCTTGCCTGTTGTAGGCTGAATGGGAGTGAAGAGGAGAAGATACAGTGAAAGGTGAGTCAAAGAGGTAGGATGGAGAAATGAATTCTGCTGGAGGTTTGTGGCTGCGTTTTGGAGGACCTGAGGTTGGATATTTTAGGCCATGAAAGGGATGTCGCAGTAACTGCAGTGTGATGTGATGCAGTAACTGCACTGTGGTGGGTTCCAGATTTCTGTGAGTTTCGCCAAAACAATTATGTTTTCCCATAGGAGTCATTTGTTTAAATGATCTGAAGACCTTTAACATGAAATATGTTCTGATGAAAAAATTCTCAGTTTGGTTGCATCTTATGTTTACAGACAAGTAACTTCCACTGGTTCGTCACTAGTCTAGTATTAAATGTGGAGGTTGGTGGCCCTGCCTGTGGCAGAGAAGTTGTAGCTTCATGATCCTTGAGGTCCCTTCCAACCTGGGCCATTCTTTGATCAAGTACCACAACTAACAATGTTACTGCATTTATCTCTGGGTACATGTGTTCTGGTTCACTGTGCTGCTTCAGTTTTGAATCATGTATTTCTTTTATACCCTATCAGACTTAGAAAAAAAATATATTAAAATGGTCATGCTTTTTTTTTAGACATGGACTATTATTGAAGAATGTGTTGGCAATGTACTAAAGCAGCAGCAAGAGGATGGATTGTAATAGACAGTGAAACCCCTGCTAGCTGAATCTGATGAATATACACTGGTTTATGCAAGGAAGATGCTGAGTTTAAGAAGACTGTTTGCAATTGGAGCAGAGGGGTTACAGAAGCTGGAGATAGATTTCTGCGTCTGGAGAACTGGCCAACAAAATCCACAGAACGTGGATGTACTGTCAAATGTAAATCCACCACTCAAAAATTCTCTCTCTGAAAACAAATTCAGATCTGTACAACCATGCAAACAGAAATGATTTCTGTCTTCCCCTTAAATGAATGTAGCCAAATACTGTGATTTTATTGCACGAGTCAACGGAACAAAACTGAAAAGCAGAGTTCAAACCGTAGCAGCTTAGTTATTCTTCACTGGTTATTTGGCGGGAAAAAAAAGGTGCTTGAATGCCTTCACTATTCGTCTGAAGCCTTCCTGCTTAGGTGTGCTGAGGAGAGGAACAGATGCAGCTGGACTCATGGCCTTGCAAATGCCAGGATGGCCTAGTCTGGCCCTGTGAAGTCACTCACATCAGAACGGAGCTTGGCAAGTTCAGGTCAGTCTTATGTGAAGTGGTTTGTCCATGCTGGTGTTGGGAGTCACACTGCTCAGGAGGTGTTAACCGCTGAGAGCTGTTTCCCCAGGCCAGCTGCAGCCAGCGTCACCGGGACACACAGGCTTCTTTTTCAAAGACTGTGGTTTATACTTTAGATGTGGAATGTGATTTTGGCTGTTTTAAATGCTCAGCATGCACGACAGCAAACTTGTACTGTCAGAACAGTAAATCTGA